GGGGTTATAAGAAGATAAACCAAAAAACCCCACTCAGTAGAAAATGCATGTGTTTCGATAGATAGAACTTTCTGTGAATTCCTTGGGAGTTCCAGCAGCAGTACAGCACTAAAACAACAATAAAAATGCACAAATAGGTAAAATACATGAGTAGCAGCACACTGTCAATGAATATGGGAAATCTGAACAGTGGATATTATTCTAAATTAAATTGGTATGATGTGGTGATGTAGTAAAGTATACCACATTATACCTATGATACTGTATGTATATATAAGCAAAACTGGTATCATTATAAGGATGTTATGTGAACAAGTATATAAAATAAATATATAATATATGAAATATTTGCCCAATGTAAATTAAATAGTGAAATAATGAATTTAAATAAACAGTTAGCTATATAGGCAGTTCCAGGAGACAAATTAGTGTATGGGTGTATTTTGGATAATTTCCTCTAAAGTGTTTTATATTTTGGTGTTTAATTTTTGCTCCATGTCCCTTCTTTAATGTCTGCCATTGGAACGTGCAGGTTCGATTTCAGCTGCAACATCATCATGTTTTCCACAAACTAGCAGATGGGCTGTCAGTGTTTCATGAACTTCTTCGACCTGAGAGATCCACAGATCGGTAGGTAATGGTCACACTCAACGTAAACAAATTAATACCGTAAAAAATACGAGACTGCAGATAGTACACGGCTTCCTAATTACTGCTAAAGAAATAGTTTGCATGCAGTATTATAGAAATGAAATACTCCAGGTAATAGTGAGTCACAGACAGCATGTTTTGTAGAGCTTGTGATAATGAGAAACATTGTTTTTTGTTGTTTAGTTGTTGTCAGTATTCCGGAGAAGTCTTGAAGAAAGTTAAGGAGACCAGCAGGCGCATCAACGACATCCAGACGTCTGTAGACCTCACCATGTTCAACAGTGTCTCAAAGGACAACACCACCAAGGTGAGAACTCTTATGGAAATGATTGATGAGTGATAACAGTTGTTGAAGAAAGTTGACCATCAAGGAGAACGTCCAGAGAAGAGTTTTGTTTTTAACAGCGAATAAAGAAAAGAGTTTTCTATGAAGATTCTCAGTCATCCAGGTCGCGGTTGAAGAGTTCCGTTAGGCAACTGGACGTCACATTTTGCCTCTCATCCAAGAGGCTTCAGTTCTAACTGAGGGGAGTACAGCAAATACAGTATATACTGTGGTTGTGACAAAAAATAAAGCTAGTTCAGTCCCTTTTGTCAGGGTCAACTGGGGAAGTGTCAACAGTCGTTAGGAGTCTGATGGGTTGTTGTTATCCTCATCAGAATGGTTTCGGTATGTGGATGATAGGTTGTGTCTTAGCCCACCTCTGTTGAGTGAAACTTTCATGTCCAGTTGCCCAACGGAAGAATTTAACACAGAAAAGAGATATTGTTTTCCTCTTAACTCTTGGATTTGTCGTTGTTTATATACGTATGTATGGAATTATGAGGTGACCCTCCAGTCATTTGTGCTAGAGACCCCCGCTCCCAAGTAGAACAATAGAAATAAGTGAATGAAAAATGTAATTGAAGATATTTATTGATAGTTTATTATATACAGTAAGTGTGTAAACTGAAGTAAACATTTGTAATTTGTTGGGGGTTATAAGAAGATAAACCAAAAAAACCCACTCAGTAGTAGGTGTGGTTACTTTGAGCGTGTCCACTTGTTCATTTTTTTACATGACATTTTCCTTCAGTCTAGGTGTGTTGGTCAATCTGTCCATGCTACAGACTTCTCGTAATGTGAATCCACTGACTTATGTACTTATACGGAAATAGACTTTAGAATATTTGAAGTACATCTTAGGAGAAATGAATGGTATGGTTTGAAATGAACTAGCCGTTATGGTTTTGTGTTACTTTTTAATGTTGACAGATTGCAGTCCAATAAAGTGGGAATAAAGCAGTGATGGCTTAGTAGTTAAGGAAGCGGACTTGGGTCCGGAAGGTTGCAGGTTTGAATCCACCAACTGCGGTGCTCTGAGCATGGCACCGCTCCCATGACACTGCTCCCCGGGTGCTCAAAAAGCACTGTTCACTTTGGTGATGGGTTAAATGCAGAGGTCACATTTCGTTGTGTGCAGTGATGTGTTTCACAATGTTACAATGACAAGGAGTGTCTTGACAGTCTGTGTCTTTAAGACCTTGAAGAGAGATGATTGTGTGATGCTGGTAAAGGCTCTAAGTCAGCCACTGGAGTAAAAATGAAATTATTTGTTTGTTTTGCAATCCAAGACATGGACAGTTGATGATCACTGTTGTAGGTGGTGTGCAAAACTGAGTGCCATGTGTTGTCTTTGCAGCTCTTTGACTCCGCATCTCTGGATCACATCGAGACTTTTAAAACCGAGAGACGGTGAACTCTGCCGCCCTTCTCCAATCATGGATCATGTAAGATGAATTTGCCGCTGTGCAAGTACTATGCTAGTAGATCAACAGTGACCTCGAACCTTGCAATTGTGTGTGTGTGTTGTAGGTGCTTATGGCAGGAGGCCATGGAAGTGACCACAGCTTCCACCAGGATTGGCAAGTTTGAGGCCAGGTGAGTTGAAGTGGTGTTTCCAGTCTGTTGTCTTCATCTAAACAAAAGAAGCAGATGAAGAAAATGTAGATGTTCTTTATTCCATAATAACAAAGGCATTTATGTAGTGATGACATATCTGTTTAAAGCATTGAATTTGTATTTTTGTTGATAGTGATGTGTAAACATTTAGTTATGACATTTGATTGTGCTGTGGAAGTGACTACTTCGTAGCTGCTTTTAAGGAAAACCTGTTTGTTTGTGTTAACAAGTGGCACAGTGACTTGTTCTTCTAATCTGCAGGTTTGTCCAAGCTGTGTACGAGGAGTCAAAGGTCATTCTGGTCCCATCAACTGTGTGGCTTTACACCCTGACGACAAGAGGTAAATGACCAACACAGCTTTTGATTGTTCCAAAAATAGTTACATCGAGGGCAACTGGACAAGGTGGGTTTGGCTCAAGAGGCTTCTTTAGTTCAGCAGAACTGATGTCTTAAAAAAAAAAACCTCCTTCGTCCAGTTGCCCTCGATGTAACTATTTTTGGATTAAATGACTGAGAACCTACACAGACAGCTTTTGATTGTGTTATTCCAGCTCAATGTTGTCATTTATTATGCCTTGTATGCTATTGTCTTAACAGTGCAATGGAGGAGAAGACTAGGACTCTGCCAGGTAGCGTGAAGGAGCAACTTTATCTGAAGCAGATCACTTGTTTGCTGGACTTGTGAGTATTTTACTGAAATGTGTAATTGCATGAGGAAAGTGTTGTTCAGCTCATTCCATTCATTGTGCCTTAATGCTGTTGTCAGATACTTAACAGTCACTTTTTGGCAACACTTTTTTTGGCCATTGCACTTAGGGTTATTCCAGCCCATTCTGCCCTAATTCTGTTGTCAGAGTCATTATTTAGCAACATTGTCATTTTTTGGCCCTTGCACTTATGCTCATTCCATTCATTGTGCCTTATTTGTATTGTACTTTCATTAAGAAGTGTATTTGACTATTTTTGTGTATATTTTATGTGTATATTTTAGTGTATATGACTTTCTTTATTCCAGAATAAAGAAAGTTATTGGAAAATGGTGTGCTCTGCATTTATTTCCAGGAATTTCACTTCACATTTACAAAACATGCATTCAATCACAAATGCCATAGATACACATCAAATTACTACAGTAACACTTCAGCTAAAGATAGCATGATGAAATACTCACAACACTAGTTCTGTCAACCACATGTGCTCACAGGATTCAGCAAAGGTCCTTCTCTTCCTCCTCTACTTCAAAGACAAAGTAAATGCAATAACACTACTTGTTCTGGTTGTAATCAATCATCCACAGGTTACCTCTCTTATGCTTCCTTTTTTCCCTCGGTTGGCAGCATTCCTGCAACCTCCTCCTCAGTCTATTCTTTTGGTCATGGGCTCAAACCTCCTGTGGCCTAAAAGAAGTCCACAATGTCATGTTAAAATTCAATAACAAAAGCATTGACGTGCACTAAGAAACTCCACCTGATGGAGAACATGTGGATATAAACTCAGTTTCAACAAAATGCTAAAAATCTTTAGCATGATCATTTACTTAAACTGCAAATAAATATAATTCTTGGATACAACCATTGATTAAAATATTAAATTAAATCCATTTCTTTTCATACCTGTAATAGTGACGTTGAATCGGCTCCACACAGAAGGACCACTGCGCTCGGCTGGTACATCTCCATTACTTTGGCCATGATCTAAACCCAAGACACACATTTAAAAAAATAAATAAAAAACCACAGAAGCTGGGAAAAATAACTCAATCGCACTCACAGTAACAGACTTACCGGTCTAAAGATGGCTTCATGGGTAATTCACTCCGTAGTATTTGCTCTACACAGCCCCAATGTCCTGTAAACATTTCACAACACTATGTAAATGCAAAAGCTTCTTTTCCACTGACAAAAAAAAAATAATTCTTCTCTTACTTGAGAGGCTCAAAATGGTCAGAACGATGTCATTCACGTAGCAGAACCCAGATGATTCGGACTTCTCGGTGCCCACCGGTCTGCTGCTAACCTGAAAAGATTTACATAATCAATTTCATACATCTACGAGTGCGCGCACACATGCTTAAATAATGAAAATGCTGCTTCACTAACACAATAACACACTGCTTCACTAACACACTTGGCTAAAGTCACAACACCCAAAATGTTTAGACCACTCGAACCAAATGGTCTTCGTGCAGATATTTAGAGGCCAAATAACAAAGCTCTATCTCAAATAACTGAAAAACACGCTGACTGAAGCGGTACATGCAGTCAGAATTAGTTCAAATGTGCAAACTGTGTGGTTCAAACAGGCTACTGGCTAACTATTTCTTTACCGCCAAAGTGCAGAGAACCAGAGCTACAAATACGTACCTTCGTAATAATAGTAAACCTTTTTTCTCTATGCCTTCACACAGCGCCATTTTGCACCCATGTACATATATACTGTACATATATATCTAT